TGTATCTTAAAAGTATGTCCCACTGTATACAGCAAAACCAAACGATACACCTGCTTTGGACTGGGCAACTTGGCAGTATTCGGCCCACTTGCAAATCGCGGGGCGTTTTTCATTTTATAAAGATTGTTGTGCCACGATTTGTTTGGCACATAGTCTGGCATCAGACGTGTATGAAATAGATATATATATATATATATATATATATATATATATATATATATATATATANTTAGATATCCGTCATCTCTGCTCAGGGTCGGGCTGCTGTCGAGCGTTGCCCCAATTATCCAACCTCGGTAGCCACGTGATAATTCCACCTCCGTAATGTCTGTATTGACGTGATCATTTGAGAGTGATAAGCCCAAAGGATGCTGTGCATTCATGTGTGGTTTTAGGTACAGTTGGGAAAATCTGTCCGTCATACATGCCATACACACGCATGCATATAGACATTGTGAAAACCGGACGGGTAAACAAAGAATTTAAGGGAAGATATGTTGAGCATAACAGGTGTCACTATACTGCGCCAAAGTAGAAGAGATGCAAATCGGACATGAAACTCCTTCTCATTGCAGCACCTGGCCTGACTGATCGCAACCCGTGAAACCATGCAAATTGCAAGCAATTATATCATGTCTAAGGACCGATACTTAGAAATGAGACAGAGATAAAAAAGGGTAGTCCCAACTTAAAATGTTAAACCTAATTCGATCGTTGACTGATAATCCGCATCAAGCGCCAGAAAGGGTAACCGACCAAATCGACATGGATTGAAGCAAGATGCGCAGTGTCAGTAGAAACGGACACACGACAATCCGTTGAACAAATTTTTAATTGCATTAAAGTCATCAGACCTGTCGAAGAATAATGCAGTCCTTCATTTGCATTACAGGGACATGGCTGGGCTCATAGAGTGAAAAGATCAACGGATTAACTAAAGTGCATTGAAATTCATGCCTGTCGCATTTACACGTAACAATTGAGCAAAACTCGACACAAGATATTTGGCGAAACCACCGCGTTCGGCTAAAATCTGGAAGATGAAAATTCTGATTTTGAACGAGTTCTCGCTTGCGGACTGTTTGCTTCAGGAAGTTATGAACTGAACCAAATCGTCAGCAGCAATGAAAAACAAAATTGTTCATGATACATTCCGATCATGTAGTCATTTTTGAAGAAATTCAAAATACTACATCCAGAAGTGAATGCAATAGTTAAACGAAAACATTAGGGGTCACTCCAGTTGGGATCGCATCTCACCCTTCTTCAATGCCTCAAAAGCAATCATTGTGGCTTTTTCCCAATTCCGCGCATTCAGTGGCACTCGCTCACTAGTCGTGTTTCCCATTGTGTTCCCATCTGCCTGTGTGGATTGCAAACCCACGTCGGTCTCAAATAGTTTGGCCTGGCGGACTAGAGTCTCCACCAGACTAGTCGGTTGACTGTCACCGAGCGGATAGTGAGCGTATTGTGGCACATGTAATGGGATAATCTGATCGAATCGAGGATGGAGAATTGGCTCAACTCGAAAACTGCACGGATCCGTGGGATGGAATAGATTACAGACTTGGTCCGCGGCAACGCGCAGCTCTGAGTGTTCGATCAAAGGATGAGAAGAGAACGCGCGTGAAGTTTAGGCAAATTGTTACTAGCGACTAAAACAATCAAGGTGTGCATTGTGAACAAACATCTGACACAATTGTGCTATATAAACTTGCAGAAAACTTCTAATTTTACTTCCAGACATTAAAGTGATTTTTCATCGACCACAGCAGAAAGATAATAGCGCACTGAAACACATATCGGATAGGTCTAGCAAAGTGGGCCAGCCAGTTGGAAAATGCGGCACTTCCGGTTTCGGTTAAGTTTATGAATAAGACTAAACGATGATGTGGTACACCAGTAGCAGACGAAGAAAAGAGAGAAAACTAGGCAAATAACTCATTAAGTCATATACAATCACGAGTAGAGAGAGAAAATCTGTATGATAAGTAATAGTTGAATAACTGAGCAATACTCAAAAGCGAGCTTCACAACGGCAGCATCGATAATGAAGGTGTTTTTTTAAATAAGCTGGCATTGGCGTCTGAGGCACTAGGCACTACCAAAGTCAAAGGCTCCGGTTAGGGTTCCCGAAGAAAAAAAACCCCTTCGTCGGTGTGGGTTACCGCGAGGTATGTCGTGCCCTAAAGTCTGGGGAACCATCTTTCCTATCTGTCTAGTTCTTCTCAACCCTGAATAAGAGTAAAGGGATAGGGTTGGGTACGGAAGACAAGGAGTTAAACAAAGGTTGGGATATCTCAGCAGTAGCCCACTTATCACTACCCACTCCGCTCGATGCAATGGGCAGCGCGGTCCTGATTATCCTGCGCGACAACCAATGCAGTATAAAATTATTTTTTGTTTGTGTGTTCATTGGAGCTTTATGGACGGGTACTGCCAGGGTGTCCAGCTCATGCCCTACCTCAACTAGCATCCAAGTTTCACAGAATCCTCCACCAACTGAAGCCCTTCTTCGCCCTCGATGTCCTTTCAAACTAGCCACGTCTAATGTGCCTACTGTGATGCGTAACATTATTATATTTCACACTCACCTGAAACCAGACTGTACCAAACAAATCATTTTTTTATTGCACACCCAAGTGTGCTGTACAGCAATCGGGGCGAACCCCACAGTCACGAGGACCTGTTGTTAAGTGGTGGAAACCGGCAGCCTAAGCCCCGGGACTTGGAGTGGCGAAGCACATAAGGCTCCGATAGCTTAGGCGTGGTATTGAACCGGACGACAGCAGAGCTGTCTACCAGCAAATCATGGTACAATAATCTTTATAAAAAATAAAAACGTTCCATGATTGCGTACAGGACAACAAACATGTTTAGCTAGTATGCTCGAAACCCTAGCTATCGATGTGTGTTGCATCCAAGAAACTCGCATTCAAGACTCCAGCTCTATTATCCGATTGACGTCTCCATCAAACCAGTCTGTGGAGCTCTCAGTGAGAGCTGAAGCCGCGCTTCTGGATTGGATCCCAGTCGACAGTAAGTTGTGCGCAGTGATACTCAGAGGTTCGTCCAACGTAAGCAGCCGTCTCCACGATAGACAAAATTTGTTTGTCGTATCGGCGCACGCTTCAATGAACTGCAGCCCAGATGCAGTCAAAGATGAATTTCACCATAATCTACACGAACTCTTGCGTAAAGCGACCTCAGCTGATATCGTGATTTTAGCAGGAGCAGGCCGATCGATTTCAAGTGAGGCGACCTGGGAGGTCCTTTCAGACTGGACTCCTGTCGCTCGGAAAACGGAGAGCGGTTGTTGGCTTTGTGTTCCGACCACCGCCTGTTCTTCGCCGGTACGAACTTCGGACGTTTCAACTGCCGGTACGCCACTTGGCGTCTGCACTCCTCGAGTCCAAGACGGACGCAGATAGACCACATCGCGATAAGCCAAAGATGGCGGGGCTGCATTCACGACTGCCTATCGTACTGCGGAACTCCCCTGGAATTCGACAACTCATAAGTATGCGCCAAGCAGCTCACGTGCTTCGGTGGGCATTCCAAACACATGATACAACGACGATTAGACTGTGACAAGCTGTCCAAACCAGCTTGTCTAATTGTCTTCCGAAATGCGCTAGCCGAAAAGCTGGAACCAACCCCACCCGACAACATCAATTAGCACTGATCACTTATCAAGAATGCTCTGCATTCTGCTGGCTTGGTTAGTTGTGATCTGACACGTCGCGTCGTGACACCCTGGATCTCTGCGCAGTCTCTAAGCCTTCTTGACAGACGTCGGTCAATTCGAGCCGGCAGCGAGCATAATGAAACACGACTCGCAACGAGACGTGAACTTAATACAAACCTGTGCAGAGATCGCGAGATCTCGTGGACTCAACGTGCATCGGAGATGGAGCGCGCTTCCTCCATGGGTAATTCCCGTAAGCTATTTTATCTCATCCGGGTCACCGGTAGGAAAGCCTGCCCAAGCAAGGCAGCACCCCCAGTCAATAAGGTGCTGTCCCGTACACGTTCCGCTTGTCTCATTAGGTGCATGAGGCCAAGGGCTGATCCGAAAAGCAGACCGATAATCAACGCACCAGTGAACAACACAATTAATCGAAATTCAAAGGCTTTGTGTGACAGGTCTCCAGAAGCTCCCACACGGGTGCTTCGTTCACACTCCCTCGTTGGATTTACGCCCCACTGCCTTGTGGGTCAGACTTTTGAGTCAAAGGCTCCGGTTAGGATTCCAAGGAAAAACCCACGAATTCCCGCAGCCTTGCGGGTCAGACTCTTGAGTCTGGCTACGGTTAGGGTTCCCAAAGAAAAACCCTTTCAACGGTGTGGGATACCGCGAAGTATGTCGTGCCCTAAAGTCTGGAGAACCCATCTGGACAACCATCTTTCCTATCTGTCTAGTTCTTCTCAACCCCGAATAATCCCAGATGCCTCCTGTTTACGCCACTCATCGTGTATCACTCAGCGTTTTACCATCAAGGCCAGACAATCAGAAGCTATAGGATTTTTAAAGCCAAAATCCCCTTTTCACTTAGCCGCGTTCAATGTCCGCACGCTCTATCAAACTGGCCAACAAGCTGCCCTGGCTAGAACCCTCGAAACTTTCAATGTAGCTGTAGGTTGTGTCTCCGAAACACGCATACAAGACACCACT